GAAGTTTCCTTTCTCTGATGTTAGTGTGGCTATATCAAGTTTCTTTTAGTAGAATCATAGATAGTTTTAAAGCTGGAAGTAAATTTACATATGCGTTGACTCACCTTCATTTTATACATCAATTGAGACTTATAATTTTGACGTTGAATTCGCCAGGTATTACTTTCAAGCCAGCATAAACATCCTTGGTCCTATTTTAGTTCTCCTGAGTTCTTTGGAAACATACATGATTTTAAGTGACATCAGTTCACGCGTCTCTCTCGTCTTTTCTCAAGTTTGCACTAGGTTGATCTATTTCAGGAAGGTGGAGACATTCTAAAGTCAGTGAGGGCCATCTCATAATAAGCTCTATATTCATTAGTACCTTGTCTGGCTTAATGCTTCCCTTTCAGGTGTCAGTGCTGCTCTGCTAGGCTTTGCTCAGGCATCAATTTCTGGAACTCGTGTGTTTGCCTACTCTGTGCTTGCTTCTTCAGAGACTTGGGCACTCTGCCTGCCTCAGTCTCCAGACCTGTTCTAACCACTATGTTTTCCCTGGGTGCATTCTGGGTCATCTGATTCTCTTCTGGTCCTGCCCAGAGGGGAGAATAACCCCAGAGGATTAGGAGAGAAATAGTTAAAATGTGCATGCAAATAAAACTTGATAATTTTCTATCCAACTTCTAATGCCCCAAGCTCCCTCTCTAGCTTTAGCAGGGAGATCTTTTTTCATCGATTCCCAAATCTTGAATGTCATGACTATGAGGAATTATGATTGGAAGCTTCTCTCACTTGTGAAACACTGGACACACTTAGGTGAAGACTTCGGATCCTTCCATTATTGCCATCTTGTGTCCTTTGCTTCGACCTCTATGTGGTGCATTGTGCAGAGGCCTGGTTCACTAGTGATGAGGCAACTGGGGCCCAGAGTCATGACAACTTGCCTGGGTCCATATACTTAAGTAGCTGTAGAAATGGATCTAATTCCCTGCCTTGTTCTTAGATAATTGTTCTTTTAAATTCTTAAAAAAAAATTTTTTTTGGTTCCTGTTTAAAAAGGCACCTTGGCTCTGCTGTTGATTAAGCGCCTGATTTTGGGGTAAATTAATTCACCTACCCATGCCTTGCTTTCCTCCTCTGTAAAATGGATTGATAACCACTTCGTAAGTCTGTGTGGCGATAAATGAGTTAATCAGATAAAACATATAGTGCCTAGTCCCCGGTCTGTAGTAAGCACTAAAATAAACTATCTGCTATTAGGATTATGATGTTGAAGATAATGATGAAAATGGTGACATCTCATTTAATGGACACGTTCCACCAAATTCACAAAGTTAAATTCTACCAGAAAAATTCTTATTTTCCATTATCTTCCATTTTACAATTGTTCTTGTTTTCCAGTGGGTAAGATTATTCCTGGGGAAACATTAAGCCACAAAAAACCAGGTGCATTATTGAACATAGTAATTGCCACCACTGATGAATACAGTCCTTCTTCAGCCTTTGGCTTTTTCTTAGCAGGCTGTCCTCCCAATGGGACCTTGTCACCATTGCAGGGTATTTTTTCTCTTCTTGAACCAGAGCCATTTTGTTTAGACACCTCCAAGTTTTTCCTGTTTTCTGATTGTTGACATAATCTCAGTGCTTGGTCGTCATGGCATTGCCAATCTACTTACTCCTCTGGGAATTGCAGATGGAAAACTATTGTTCTTCTGAACTTTGGCTAATATACATTTTCTAAGGTATAGGGGCAAATTTCATGTCATCTATCCACAGTGAAGAATATTTGTTGCTATTAATATCAGTGCCTGTTTGGAGCAATTTTTACATTGATCATAAAAGTACCCTGTAATTGTCTTCTCCCTGTAATGCATACGTTTTTATTTCCTTTTCCAATTTATCGTTGTAGACTATTTTTAGTTTTGAAATTGCAGTAGGGTCTTAGTTAACTGTACATTATTTAAAAAGCAGATAAGATACTATCAAAAGTGGAAGAAAACATAATGTATATTATGTTATTTTTCAATACTTTAATGATCCTAGCAGTGTAGTAATAAGATTTATTGCATAGCACATATACTAGAGACGTTTTCAAAATAATTTAAAAGTTATACGTATTAGAGATATTTGTGTAATATAAAGGTAGATTAAATGTCACGATTATGAATAATGCAGTAAATTTTTCCAAGTGATTAATTGTGTGAACCATGACACATATGTGAACATCTTTTCATCTTTGATCAGTTTTATTCTTGATGCTAATAAAAGCAAGCAAATGAAATGCAAAGTGTTGACTGCAAGGTAATGGTTGAAATTTTTACATGCATAAAGGAGTCAGGGTGAATTTATAGTCTTATGATGGCTGTCGGCTGCTAATATTGTATGTATATTCTTAAAGTGATCTATAGCACCACGGCCAAATACCATGGGGACAGACTCATAGCTGGTATGTGCTGTGTTTGTTGATTTACCTTTCTTGGATATGTAACTTGGATGTGAGACTACTTGCATATAGCTTGTTTGTTTTTGTTCAGGATTAGATGTGTGCTCATCATTAGCTTACCCTTCCCTTCTTGGGAGTGTATAAAATGCAGTCGCCAGTGTGGAGTGGGAAGAGTTAAAATTGCAAACAGCCTTTATATTCTGTCACCATGTATTTCACTGAAAAAATGTTTTTGACTGAATATATGATTCCAAAATGTATGAAATTACTTTTTTTTTAAACCTGATTTAGTTCTGTAAAACCTTTAAGTTCTGTACTCTTTTGAATCAGAATTAAAGATAATTATCTTAGTTGCAACCCTCGTGCCTTATTTTCCAGAACATCGTAGATCCCACAAGTATGTGTGAGGGAGGAATGCTACGTGACTTAACAGCCCAGTCTTGCTGCCACTTGTCTGCTGCTCCTTTGCTGCTGATCAGATCCTACCCCTTGCTATTTCCTGAGTTTCTTGATGTTAAAGCAGCCTTTGGTTTTCTTCTCTCTGTTTCTACCTCTAGGCAGGAAGAGAGGTATACTTGAACTTGTACTACAGTGGTTGGGGGTAGCTGTTTACCTCATCTTAGTTGATAACATCTGCTTTTACAAACTGAACATGCAAAGAAAGCAGACAACTTAATACATGTCTGCTTTTATGTAATTGAAGATAAAAACAAATTCTTTAGAATAACTCGTTATATAAACATGTTTAAAATCAACAGACTCTATTTACAGTCCTGTAAGATATCAAAAGTCAACACAATGGAAGTTAATAGAAATTAATTAAATGGAAGTCCTTTTTTAAGAAGGCTAGTTTTACAAGGAAGATAATACTCTATGGATTCCAGTCAGAAGTCCTGGGTAATTTTGGGCAAGATGTTGCTCATGGCATGGCTATAGAACAAGATTCAATTCCCAAAGATTACTGGGAGACTTCTTTCTTGCTCTCTTAACTGTATAGTCTAGTGACCATCACATAGTGTTGTGTCTACTCAAGTATTATCTAGTCTGTTGTACTTAGCTTATCTTTTATAGCACAGATGCTTCGAGTTGGCAAAGATCTCTGGTTAAAGACTCTGACTGATGGGTGTCTCATACTTTTCTTACCTAGTTGTACAATCACTGCTCATGTCTTTGTGATCTCTATCTGGGCAGGAAAGTCAGGCAAAGTTCCCTAATAAATCATTAGTGTTTCTACCTGTAAGACGAGTATTAGAAGCAAAAGGAATTCCTTTTATTTTGCTTGGAATAGCTCTTTAGATACTCTACAGAAAAGATAATTTTGAAATGTTGAAAGCCTAGCTAAGGAGAATTCCTTTGAATTTTTTTAAGCCTATTACTTTATCAAGTCAAATTACCGAAAAGCTATGTACTTGGGCCACACTTCAGTAGCCTTTTGAACAGATACTTCAAAAGAATTACTATTGAATGATATGAGACCTTTAAATTGGAGGCTGTATGACACTATTTCTGTTAGTTTTTGTAAAATAGCTCGTGAATCCTGTGAAGTATGTTCTTAATACTTGATAAAGATTCGTGTGGTAAAGGCGTAGGAGAATGTCCATCTCTTCTCACAAACCGGTGTCTGTTCCTTTATTGGAAACTGATTCAGAGTTCAAAAGTTGCCCAGTTTGAGAGGCTGTCTAAGAATCACAGAACCAAATTGAGCATAGCTTGAGCATGCTGGTAAAAATCTTACTAATGTTTTTCTTCATTCATTGGTTCATGTTCTTGTTTCATTATTATAATGTTTAACTTTCATATCTTTTCTGGAGATAGGCAGTACATACATAACTGAATGAGCTACATTATGCAATTCTAAGCTGTAGTATTAGTGTATCTAGACATATATCAAATAGGGAAGATAATTTTTTTCCCTTAAACTTTATACTCCTAAGCAGTTTTTTAAAAACAATACTGGGAAATCTCCTCAATCAGTATCCCAATTGAGTGAGGCCCCTCTTCAACTCTGAACAGAGCCTGAGTTGCTGTTATATCACTGCAAATCTTAGAGCTGAGGGCGCACACATAGCGTGGCGATTTAAACAGGTGACGTGGTTGAGAGTCACCCTATTTCGTTCACATCTTCCAAAGTGATAGCTATTGCCAACACAGGTTTCTGCCTCTTGATTTTTTTTCCCTACAGATTTGGGATCTCGGTTTGAACTTTCAATCCCAAGTTTCAGAAAGTACCCTCAAGAAGATCTTTTCCAAAGTATTTTAAATTACCTAAATTGTAGGTTGTAAAAAATTCCTTGGTTATGCTTTTCAAAGAGCTGAGCAGTTTATTTGTGCATTGCAATGTATCTTCCAGGAAAATTGATGAAATATGTACAGTCTGATTTACTGATTTATGTTAAACAGGATAAAAATGCCAAATATTTATCCAAATAAATAGATAACATTTATTTTGGGTGTTTAAAAAGTTTATTATTACTGGTTCATATTTTTCAATGTGCCAGTGTATGTCTTTTAAAATTAAAGAGTATGTTACCTTTTTGAAAAGTTTGAGTCCTGAAACTTGTTGTTGGTTCTTCTACAGGACCCTGGCTACTGGGTGAAGATTCATCACTTAGAATACACAGATGGCGGGATCCTGGATCCAGATGACATCTTGGCAGATGTTGTTGAAGACAAAGACAAGGTAGATGACTCCAAAATTGGTCCTGTTTGTTTTCCTCTGTAGAGTTGTGTGTTTTCCAGAACTTGAGATCCTAAACAAACTCAGGTGTCAGTTATTATTAAAAGGCACCGCCTGTTCAGGTTTCACCTGGACAGCCCATAAATCAAAGTTCTCCATCAGATGTTTGGAAAAACTTGGTCAAGGTTTGGGAATCTGTTCATGGTGGCCTAATTAGCAAACGCTTCATTCCCAAGAGTTCCTGATGCATCTCGGTAAATTAGTGTCAGGCCCTGAGGCTGCTGGAATTCTCATTGCCAACATCTCTGGAGTTTATTCTTGGTCCTTGCTAAATATGCGCCTTCATGCCTTAGATTGGAACACATTTCACAGTAGAAAACACAATGGGGAGGAAAGTCTTAGGCAGAGTTGTAATGAAGATTTTCCTACAGTAGCTGGCAAGCAACTATCTTTCATGATCATTTTTGTTTTCCTTGTGAAAGTAAACATGGAATTGAATATTCCAAAAGTTGCTACCAACTTGAGAACAATTCCATTGCACATGTCTTGTTTTCATGGGATTTTTCTTCTGATGCTGAACTGAAAAAGGTGTAAGTTAAACTATTCAGTTGCAGTATGCTGGATAATTGCTGTTGAGACACATAGTTTATCACTACTTTTGTGCTGGGCTCCTCTTAGCATCACTGTGTCCTTCAAAATTGAACTGCAGCTCCGTGACAGATCCCTGCTTCAAAGTTTCTTCTAGTGTGCATCCTTAGTGCTCTTTGCACTAGACTAATTTTATCTATAAACATGTTTCTTTGTATTTTTTTTTTGCAGTCTTAGGTAGGGGTGTGTGTGTGTGTGTGCACGCGTGCCAACTGGACAGGAATATAAATAAATGATTTATTGAACTCAGGTAAAATTTACATTTTTCCTTTTCCATAAGATCTTTTTGGACTGTTCAAATTTACATTAGTCTTTGTAGACATCCTACCCACTTATTTTCTCGGTTTTCTGTTGGGAGTCAACCTTGGTTTGTCTTGCATTATAATTAGCTGTTTCATACGGGGCTTATCTCTCTAAATAGATTGTAAGCTCCTGAAGGACATGGATCAGGAGATTTTTATTTCTTTTGTGTTCCATATATTAATAATACCTGGTACAGTATCTTACCCAAACTTGATTGTCAAAGAACACTTACTGAATTGCTGAGTGAAAAAGAAGGCTTCACTCTCTACTATTAACTCCTGCTGTACATGATTTTGATGCGTACATTTTGTTTGTTGTTTGGGCTCACCTCCATAAGTTTGAAGGAGGGCTTTCACTTCAGTATCTCCCTGTTTTACTCTCGGCTGCTTCTCTATAGTCATCGTCTTCCTTTGAAATAGTCCAGGCATCTGGTTTTTAATGAAGAAGGTCTTCCCGTCTCAATTTCACTGACATCCAGTGTATTAAAATGAAAAGCAGAAAAGTGGCAAGTTTAAGAAGGGCCAGAAGAAAATGTCTCACCCCAGCCTCATTCAAGACCTCATTACGGGAAGGACAATTCCATGAACAGTGCCCAGGGAAATAATTTGTCCTATAGAGCTTTTTAGAGAATTCTTTTTAACTACCTTGGCAGTGAGCTTTTTAACTATAATCCATTTACTAGACACATGAACAGCATTATTATACATAATCTCTGTTTTAATGGGACTTCACCACTACTATAAAATAAGGTGAAAAACTGAGATAGTTAAAACTCTAGCAAAGGATTAGTGCTGTTTGGGTGCGGGTTTACCCATTCCCGTAATATACTTTAACTCTTCTCCATGAAGCTTAACAGGTATTGTTCTGCAGAGTTGATGAGGATTACACTTGTGATATTGCCAGAAAAAAAAAATTGTACTCCATTTTTTTCTTTTTAAAAATACTGTAAGAGAAAAAGAACGCATCACTTGGGTTTTTCTGACATTCTCTCTGTGGTTTTAAGATTTCTTCATACTCCGTAGGACTAGTCTGGAAAGAAATTCTGCCAGACTTCATTTTGCCTTACTTGTTGTCACTTTAGATTAAGATGTAATTAAAAATGATGCTTCTGGATGTTTAGTGACATATGAAATTCACCCAAGATCCTTTGAGGCAATATGGAGCTTAGATAAAATTACAACTCACCTATTTTGAAATTGGCTGCCTAATTGTCTCTTGCCTTTAGAATATAGATAGAAAGCAAGCCCAAAGAGGTATGGATGGATATAAGTAATCCTTGTGCCAAAGCCGACATTCCTCAACTCCTAGGAAGGACTCTCACTATAGGAGAGAAATGGCAATTAGGAACCTTTGATAGTTTCGCTGGAAAGGATGAACCAGAAAGCAGTATAAGCTGAGGCCATTTATTCAGTACATGGAAAAGCCACCAGCACACTTCTGTAAAGACTGAAACTAGAGGTTAAGTCATATTCTACTTAAACTCGGACAAGGGACTAATATAGTTTGGTCAGTTTTCTAAAGAAATGACTTTCTAAACTTCTGGTAGTAGCAATAGTTTACCTCTGGCCTCACCTCTATTATTCCTTTGGCCAGCACAGTACATGGTGCATACATAGCGTTTCTTTGGGAGGTTTGTTTTGTTTGTTTATTTTTTATTTATTTATTTAATTAATTAATTATTTAAACTTGCTTTCCATTAGAGGCCCTTTACAGGTTAACCAAGTATTTACCATGATGCACTATTTGTCCTGTATTTTGTCAACGTGTGATTGGAGCAGCTTTGGAATTTTATATCTTATAAATAATATTTGTGTAAAATTTGTGCTGAAACCTAGTAATTATCCAGTATGACAGTCGTTCTCCAAATCCTTCAATTTTATGTACCAGTCTGATGATTCAAGTTCTTTAGGATAAATATTTAAGAGTTTACATCATTAACACTCATGTCTGTTCCCTGGCTGCCCAAGTCTACTGACTTTAGTTCACCTAATAACTATTTCATATTTTATCGAGCACTAATAGTGACCCAGAATATCTTTGGCACTTACATATTTTATTTTCGAGCAACCTTGCATGCAGGAGCTATTTATTATCCCTAGTTTTAATTTCTGAGAATAGCCACAGAAATTGCGATTTGCCAAAGACCACACAGGTAGTAAGTGGCAGAATCAGACTCTAGAACCTAGAATTTAAATTTCCTCACTCTGTTTTGTTCTTTTACAATGTGCCAAGCAGTGTGTTGGGTGTTTGTGTCCAAAATTTCTGATTATGAAAATGCATCAATCATAAGCATAAATTTGTTTATTGCCATCACTGTTAAAAGATAATAGGACTATGGAGTATTAACAAAATCAATTTGGAATTAGTATGTCATGCATATATATTATAGTTAACTTCAACTCTCTTTGCCTGGAGCTTGCATTTAATTTATTGTCAACGCCTGTCAGTTTTTACCTCTGTTGCTTTCTCTTGCATCCCGTTTTCCAGGTTCCAGATTACTCAGTTCAGGTACAGTTTAATTCCAAGTGGACTTGTGACTACACTTGTTGCCTAACCACTATATACAGTTTCATAGATAAATAAATTCTATATTCCACTAACCACTGTTCAGGTGGGTTGCAGAATGTGCACGAGTTACATATTGTGCTGTCTGCAGCAGGCACAGTAATGGACCCCAAGGATACCTACATCCCAGTGCCCAGAGCTTGTGGTGATGTAGGTTACATAGCAAAAGCGTCTTTGCAAATGTGACTAAGGACCTTCAAAAGGGAGATTGTTCTGGATAATTTGGGTGGGCCCAATGTAATCAGAAGGGTCCTTATAAATGAAACAGGAAAGCAGGAGAGCCAATATTAGAGATAGGTGATATGAGATAGTTCGTAGAATGTCCAATGCTGGCTTTGAAAATGGAGCCAAAGAATGCAATCACCTTCTAGAAGCTGAAAAAGGCAAGGAGTTTTATTCTCCTATAGAGCCACCGGAAGGACACAGCCTTGCTGATACCTTGGTTTTAGCCGTCTCAGACTTCTCACCTCCAGAATTATAGGATAAATTTGTGTTGCTCGAAGCCACTATATTTGTGGTAATTTGTTATAACATCGATAGGACAGCCATACACTCTCTTATCTAATTTTGAACTTTTAGAGCGATGATGGTCCTTTCCAGTTTTATACTAACTGGGCTTTTAAGATCTTACAGGACAAGGAAAATAGCTTATACTTCAGGCTGGTTGATTGCTCGGTGCATTCCTTGCAAAGTCCATCACAAATTGGTTCTCACTTCATTGGGTGAGCTTCACTCTTTGGGACTTGAATGCTATGCTGTTGTATTGTGTAGAAATTATTTCTGTGCCACACCCAAAAGCTATGTAATACTTATCAGTTTCTCATTGTAGTATGTAAAGGCCCTAAGAAATCTAAAGATTGACGCTTAATAAGCCACTGTAGAGCTTATTGTTCACTAATTGCTATTTTTAAGTTTGAGAACCTCTGGATACTGAACGTTTTAAATGATTGTTTCCTTGTTAATTGTCATTGTTATATCTTGATTTGGTTGTGGAGGACAATTGCAATATAATACTGAAATACGGCAATGTATAACTTCTGTTATGTAAATTGGATTAGTGCCATGGTTTTACTCAGTATAAAAAAGGGAAACTACATTATGTGGTAAAGTACAATGGGAGACTGTCTCTCTTTGACAAAACTTTGACTGTCACTGGGGTTCATTTTGGGGCAATGTCAAAATCTGGACTCCAGTGAGGGTGGGTTGGCTCCCTGGATCACATGTGATATCTGGTGCTCAGATATTAACCATTTCAGTTCAGCTTTATTTCTTCTTAGTTATGTGTCCTTGGGCAAATTTTCTTTTTTTTCTATTAGCCTTCATTTCCCCTTTGGGAAAATGGATATAATGTTATTTTTTATCTTATAGGGTTAGTGTAGGAAAACTATTAAGTTTTAAGTACAGTATGGTGTAACAGCACTCAAATGTTAGTTGTTATATTAGTAATAATATTATGGTAGTGTTCGTGTATTTTTTAACCTGTGTGT